GAAATAGGGTTCAGGATTTTTTTGCAGTCCTTTCCCATCCCCCACCACAAATGAGAGTATACACCAACATCTCCCATGTGGTCATAAATCACGTGGATTAGATTTTCCTTCCTATCCCAAACCCCTTTAGTATGGTTATGTAACTCATTTGAAAGTAGCTGCATTCATTTGTCTAGGTCTGCTTCCAATTTTAGATTATTTCTCCTCTTCCCATCTTATTAATTTATTTTTTTGAATATATAGAACATTAGTGTTCTCTTGGAAGTCAAAAGTATACAGAAAATATACCCTCTTATATTTTAATTTTATTTTTTGTGAGACAGAGTATGATTCTGTTGCCCTTGAAAACTTTAGTGCCCTGGCATCTTAGTTCACAGCAGCCTCAAACTTCTCGGCTTAAGCAATCCACCCACCTCAGCCTCCCAGAGTGCTAGGATCATAGGCAATATGCCCTTTTTTTTGAGACAGAGCTTCCAGCTGTCGCCCTGGGTAGAGTGTCGTGGCATCACAGCTCATAGCAACCTCCAACTCCTGGGCTCAAGCAATTCTTCTGCTTCTGCCTCCCGAGTAGCTGGGACTACAGGCCCCCACCACAATGCCTGATTATTTTGGTTGCAGCCATCATTGTCATTTGGCAGGCCCGGGCTGGATTCAAACCCACCAGCTCAGGTGTAACTGGCTGGTGCCTTAGCCACTTGAGCCACAGGTGCCAAGCCGCAATACATCCTTTTCTATACACTCCTACAGATGGCAGGTGCCTGTATTCCCAGCTACTTGGGAGGCTGAGGCAAGAGAATTGCTTAAGCCCAAGAGTTAGAGGTTGCTGTGAGCTGTGATGCCATTGCACTCTACCCAGAGCAACAGCGTGAGACTGACTCAAAGAAAAAAAGAAAGAGAGAAATAAAAATAAAATCTGGGAAGCACCTGTGGCTCAGTGAGTAGGGTGCCAGCCCCATATACTGAGGGTGGTGGGTTCAAATCTCGTCCCGGCCAAACTGCAACAACAACAAAAAAATAGCTGGGGGTGTGGTGGGCGCCTGTAATCCCAGCTACTCGGGAGGCTGAGGCAAGAGAATCCCCTAAGCCCAAGAGCTGGAGGCTGCTGTGGGCTGTGATGCCACCGCACTCTACTGAGGGTGACAAAGTGAGACTCTTGTCTCTAAAAAAAAAATAAATAAATAAAATCAGCTTTTCAGCATTAAAAAAAAATTGTAATCCTTACCTTCTGTTTTCATTTACCTGGTAAATCTTTACCCATTCATTTAATTTGTAGCCTTTTGAATCACAGCATCTCTGGTTTATAGTACACAGCTGGGTTTTATATGACTATTTGATATTATAATTATTCTCTGTAACAGGATCTTTATTATGTGTGTTTATTTGGTGTGTTTTCTTTGCTTTTTAAAAAACTGTTCTTGGAAGTGGATCTCATGGAGGTAGAGAGTAGAATGGTGGTTATCAGAGGCCGGGAAGGGAACAAGGCTTAGGGTAGATGACATGTTGTTTGAGGGGTCCAAAACAGAGTTAGATAGGAAACATAAGTTCTAGTATTTGTACAGAAGAGCAGAATTGTAATGCCCCCAACATAAAGAAAAGATAAATACTTGAGGTGATAGAAAACAAAACCAAAAACCTCTGGTATTTAGGAAGAATCAGATTTCTATTCTAGTACATATCCTCACATTAATACTTTTTATAGCACCTTTTACAGTTTTAAAGAGCTGTATAAGCTCAAGCAAATTAAATAATACATATAATCATAATATAAACCCCCGTATATCTTTAATTATTTTATATCTGACCTCACAATTTTAAGTGGCATCATCTGATTACCACCTATTACCTATGTAAAAATCAATGATTTATTCTACTTCCTCCCCCCTTTTCCCTTTTCATCCCAGTTTTTTAGTAGCACTCTTTCCACTTTGTCTAAACATATCATTTTTACATATTCTTCTTCTACTGTTTCCCATGTTTCAGAGCTAAAACAAGAGTCTAAGCTCTAAAATTAAATAAATGAAATGCTCACCATAGTCCTTTGCCAAAGTCTCCCCAGCCATCCCTTAGCTGGGTGAAATTTATCCTCCTACACTGTGCTTTTCAATAAAGTAGCCAACAGAGAGACAAGGCCATTTAAAAATTCAGTTTCTATGGGCGCCCCCTGCCTTAGGGTTCCTATGTTATACGTTACACTAGTCACATTTTAAGTACATGTTAAAGCCACATATGGGCAATGACATTCACTTTGGATGGCATAGTAAAAACTGCTTCTAACAATCAAGAAAGTTCTACTGGACAGTGTAGTTCCACTGGATTCCTTAGGAAAGGCAAGTGTCTAGTATTATATGTTTAACAACTCAGGGAAAAATGTTTTTTATAGGCTGAATATAAAATCCTTGATTCACACTTTTTCCCCTAAGTTTCTTGAAAATGTTGCTCCATGTTGCCTTGCTTTGTATGTTGCTTTTGAGAAAATGATGCCCAATTCTCTTGTTCATTAAGTTATTTTCATCTTTTTGCATAGAGTCCTAAAGATGTTCTTTTTTTAAGAGTTAAGACCTAGTAGTTTTACAATACTGTATTATGGCATTTGTTATTCCTGGTCAGTTTCCCCCTGTACTTGGTGAGCTCTTTCGCCAAGATAGATTCACATTTTCAGGTTTTCTTGGATTGCAGTTTGTGCACTGCATAAGAATGAATGCATATGTGACAGTGGTCCCATAAGATTATAATACTGTACTTTTACTGTGCTTTTTCTATGTTTAGATATGTTCAGATACACAACTGCCACTGTGTTATGACTGTCTACAGTATTCAGTACAGTAACATGCTGTACAGCTCTACAGCCTAGGAGCAACAGGTCATACCACACATAGCCTAGGTATGCAGTAGGCTATACCATCCAAGTGTATGTAAGTACACTCAGGATGTCTGCACAGTGATGAAACTGCCCAGCAATGCATTCTTCAAAATGTACCCATGTCATTGAGCCACACACGACTACATTAGTTCTGCCTTAGTGTTCAGATTTTTCTTCTTCAAGGACACTGGTAAATATATGAGCATTATTCCTTCTCTTCTTATCTTTCATTTTTATTACTTTTTCTTGAAGTCCTTTTATTCCTTTATCTCATTCTCTTGGCTGTTTTCCTGCTTTTCTTTAATGTCTTTTATTAAATTTAAATATAAATCTATTCTTTCTTAGGCTCCTTGCAATTTAAATATAAATCTATTTTCTCTTCACTTTCAATATGCTTGTCGTTTTCTTCCACTTCTGTTTGAATGAAATCAGCTGTGAATTCATTTCTTTTCTTTTCTTTTTTTTTTTTTGAGACAGAACCTCAAGCTATGCCCCTGGGTAGAGTGCTGTGGCATCACAGTTCACAGCAACCTCCAACTCCTGGGCTCAAGCGAGTCTCCTGCCTCAGCCTCCCAAGTAGCTGGGACCACAGGTGCCCACCACAACACCCAGCTATTTTTTGGTTGCAGCCATCATTGTTGTTTTGGTGGGCCCAGGCCGGATTCGAACCCGCCACCTTAGGTGTATGTGGCTGGTACCTTAGCCACTTGAACCACAGGCGCTGAGCCTGTGAATTCATTTCTTTGTGGGGTTTTTGGTCCGTTTCTTTTCCTGGTTTTAGTATTTCTAATTAAATGTGCTTTTTAAAACCTCCATAATTGTTTGAGGATATCTGATTCAGTACAGAGTGTTATGTTATAATTTTCTTCTGCTCTGTGGCTGCTTTTCTGAGAAATATTTTCATTAACTGAAATATTCAATTAGCATTTGTTTCTTTTTTAGTCATCTTGTATAGATGTGGTGAGTTTTCTTCTACTCCCAGTAGTATCAGACAGAAAGGGGTCTTTTCTGCAGTTTCTTTAATGGACTGAAGGGCTGGAAGAAAGAGATTGTCTCCTTTCTCTTTCATTTCTACAGTATCCTTAATTTCCCCCTCTTATTCCTTCATTTCCATCATTGCTTTATCCCTATAGGGTTTCTTTCTCTATCTGACTCTCTTTAAGGGTCCACTTCTAGTCTTGTTTACATTTAAGTCCCTTCCCATAGCTGGTGCCTGCCATGAACTACCAAACCCTACCAGTGTTTGGCATACAATGTTAGGCTATCTCTTTCTGGGGTGACTTTGTGTTTCTACTTTATTAGTTAAGAACTTCATTGAACATCATTCATGCAAGTAGATCTTTGTGCAATTCCTCATATAGTTCCTTAATAAATTTTTTGGTAGTAAAATTGTTAGGTCAAAGGACATGCCCCACCCCCAAGTTTTTTTGAGATCGAGTCTCACTATGTGGCCCTTGGTTGAGTGCCGTGGCAACATAGCTCACAGCAACCTCCAACTCTTGGGCTTAAGTGATTCTCTTGCCTCAGCCTCCCAAGTAGCTGGGACTACAGGCACCCGCCACCACACCTAGCTATTTTCTGTTGCAGTTGTCATTGTTGTTTAGCTGGCCTGGACTGGATTCAAACCCACCAGCCTCAGTGTAGTGGCTGGCGCCATAACCACTGTGCTATGGGTGCTGAGCACCCCCCCTTGCCTTTTTTTTATTGTTTAGGATTATTGAGGGTACAAAGAATTAGGCTACGCTGATGCATTTGTTAGATAAAGTCCCTCTTACGGGGAAAGATTTTATGAAAAAGACTTTTATGGCAATTGCAACAACAACAAAAATAAACAAAGAGGACTTAATTAAACTGAAAAGCTTCTGTAAGCTAAGGAGGCATGCCCGTTTTTAATGCTTTTAACTTAATACTGTGAGATAGTCCAACAGTAAGCAGTCTGCAAAAACTATGCATATCTTTTCTTTGGCCTATTTGCAACTAATTCTAACATTGTAAGTGTGAATGCTAGATATAAAAGACTAATTTAATTTTAATACTTTGCTTCTCAAGTGGGCCTAAAGCTCCTATGTCCGTAATTGAGTTTCTAACATGGGAGAATGGTAATTAGCAGTCTAGTATTAGAGATTTAAACCTCAATTACCTTTTCTGCTTCCCGTGTATCATCAAAGAGTCTCCTTTGCCTTCTAGCAGGAATTGGCTTAGCTGTTTCCCAAGCTTCCACCCACATATTGCTTGGAATCTTCATTCGGGCACTCAGTTCTCCTTTCAGCACCATGTTGCCCTTTTCATCAATCACCTCCTCTTCAACATAATCCCGGGGTGAATACCACCTCACAAAATCTTCCAGAACACAACCTGGATTAGCTGCCTAAAATAAGATAAAAAATTCAGCAGAATCAAATAAAATCAACAGTTATTGATAAGCCCATCTGGAAAATCATACTTTCACAAAAAGCCAATCTAATATTTACAAATACAATAGGTAAAACATGCCAGCTGTTAAAACACCAAAAACATTTTATTTTCGTTGTTTCAGTTTTATTGAAAAAGAAAACATTCTCATTTGATGCATTTGGGAATACAAACTTGATGTGACATCATTTTCTTAAACACATTTTATGTTCCATAACTTAGTTTAAAACTGCAGTGTAATAACTACTTAATACGTTTACAAAAGTAGCAAATAAGCTTAAGTAAATTAAATAATACACAACATGATAAGAACAACCCAATGATGGAAAAGTTCTGCTCCTCTTTTACGCAATAAATCAATACTAGTATTACAATAAACATCTGATAATCTAAAAAATGTTCTATTCAGACATCAAATTCTTGTGCTTTGCATTACCATCACATAAACTGATTTTTGTGCTGTTTAAGGAATTTGAATTCAAACTATTATTTTTCAGACTTTTAGAAGCAAACTGATTAAAGTTTTATTCAGTGGATAATTCTATGTAATTAATGATGATGCATGCCAAAACTTTTCAGTGATTCTACTCAAGCCTAGAAGAAAAAAGCTGCATAGTGTTAGTGGTAAGGTATGGAGGTCTTTTTGCAAAAGTTCCAGTAATGTGCTAATAGAGTACTGATGATGAGCCTGAAAACCAACATAATGAGAATGGTTTGTCTCAAATGTGAAGGGCAAAACTGTCAATTTCTCTGTACGGGGCTCACTGGCTACCAGCTTCACCATCCCTACCATCTTAGGGCATCCCCTGAAGGGGTGAGGGATCAGAGGAAGGTCCTTCATTGTCAATATAAACTTCTAAGGGTTATAACACAGTTCATGGCAACAAAGAACTGCTGTGAATTGCAATGGGTCACTCAGTATTCAGGATTAATGTATAACAATCTAGAGATCGTAACCAGACGGCACCATACTCACAGGAAAATATCCTGGGAGACTAAAGCAAACTTACAAAAAATAATATTCTACTCATGCACAACAGATTAAAGAAAGACCTTTCAGGCTTGGCACACATAGCTCAGCAGCAAAGGTGCCAACCACATACACCCAGCCCGGGCCTGCCAAACAATAATAACAACTACAACAACAACAACAGAAATAGCCAGGCATTGTGGCAGGTGCCTGTAGTCCCAAGTACTTGGGAAGCTGAGGCAAGAGAATTGCTTAAGCCCAAGAGTTTGAGGTTGCTGTGAGCTGTGATGCCACGGCATTCTACTCAGGGTGACAGCTTGAGACTCTGGCAAAAAAAAAAAAAGAAAGGAAGGAAGGAAAGGAAGAAAAGAAAGAAAAGAAAGACCTTTCACACCACAATTCTCCCTTCTGGTTGTCCTTACTATGGCAGGCTGAACATAACAGCTACCAAGAGAGGGTCACGACTCACTGCAGCTACCATTTATCTTCTTTTTACTGTTTAAGGTTTATAGTACAAGGCCATGCTCTAGAATCTGCCCATCCTTCTGGAATTGTGAAATGTAGGTACTTCAAGCACAGATTAGCATTTATCTAATGCTCTGGGGACTCCCTTAGTATTAACTTAAGCCATCTCTATTAAAAAAGGTAAAGGCAACCATATCTATTTTAGAGTGCTACGTATTTTCTTAAATATGCTATCTAATTCCCACATAGGGCCAGGTGTCCAAGTTGGTTATTTGAACTACGATCAGTTTTCTGATTTAAAAAAATGTAATACAAGATTTGTAGGAGCCTAGGTTAGTCCAAAATAATCTACTGATCACAGTTTTGCTGAAGTACAATATTATAGGACGTACATAGAACCTTACCATGAAAAACTTCCATAGTTCCCATTTAGAATCTCCTACACATGCCTCTACAAAGATACTACAGCAGGATAGATGAATATGAAGGTAGCTGGAGGTCAGGTGGGAAACAACTGCTGTGGAGGCTGGTATTTCCTGCTGTGCACACAAACCATAATTTGGTTTTGGACTTGCCTTGAGAGCCAAATGGCTTCTCTCTGTTTACTATGAGATGGGTGCCAGCTGCCTTATCACCCCCATAAGATGGATGCCAGCGGCCTCACACCACCCCCTGGGTAGGAGGAAAGGGAAAAAGAGGTAAATGAAATGATGCCAAATACCATTATTCTTAAATCGGTCCTGATCAGGCTGGAACAGGACAGATAAGAAGGGCCAAGAACTGTCATCACGAGAGTTAATGAACTAAGTGCTTTGAGAAACTGTTTTATTTATCCATTAGTTGCTAGATCTGCATTATGTTACTTTATTGTTATCTAACTTTCTTTTATGTTACCTATTGGCTAAACTGCTAAATTGCAAGGTTCGCTTCTGTAAGAGGTCATTGTGACCTTTTTGCTCACTTTTTGCTTCTTTTGCCAACTTTCTTTTTGCTTCTCATTGCTAATTTTCAGCCCACCTGCTTGGCTCTTGCCAACTTCAGACTCCTCAATGCTCTCTCAGTCTGCTTTAAACTTTGCTGAGACAGCCCCATGGTTAATAATAAAGACTCCTTTTTGAAATTCTAATTTGAGTCGGTGGTCCTTATCTCACCCCATAACAACTATACCAACTATTTGTTTTCTTTTTTTTTTTAGATGGAGCCTCAAGCTATGCCCCAGGGTAGAGTGCTGTGGCATCACAGCTCACAGCAACCTCCAACTC